GGTAGGGCCAAAATACTTGACTCCCAGCTCTTGCTTTCTTTCTCAAGTCTCTCCAAGGAGGAAACTGGGGCCCTGGAGGGGGCTGCAGGTGTCACACCCTGGGCTGTAGAAGCTTCCTGTGCCTGAGGGTGGAGGCAGGAGCTCCCCTATAGTCTGAATCCTGACCCTTTCCCCTGCTTCCAGTTTGAAGTTGGCACTTTGCAGGCCTGGCTGGAGCAGAGGGAGTTCACAATGGAAAACGGAAGAAGTCAGAGGCCAAGGTCAGATGTGCAACTCTCCCCATTCTACTTAAGAAGGAGGACTCTATTCCAGCTTCTGTCCAACCTAGTCTGCAAGAGTATAGAGGTCCTGAAAGGAGAAAAGGTCAGGATACCCTTTCCACACATACACACAAGCCCATGTCAGTCATAAGACACCCATGCAAGCACCCATGCTAACACACACATACTGAGATGTGCCTGGACTGTGCACACATGCAGACACCCACAGTTTGTGAGCATGATGCTAGGAAACACTGATGTCTGAGATGGAACCTAGAGTGTCCAAAACCAGCCACTAGTGCATGCACACGAAGACGCCTGGACAGGAATAACCCAGTCTCATCCAGATGTGCACACACAGGACTGTATACTGAGAACATGTGCACACGCATGTACACTTTTCCAGATGTGCACATCCGGGTACACCCCACCTCCAGGAAAGAACAAAAATACCCAGACCAGTATACACAGGCACATCCGCCTCCAGTTGGGTACACAAGATACTTCCACCCTCGCTGTGTGCATCCATGTGCACCCACTGCCCGGTATGTACAGCAGTCTGTTCTCCCCCAAGACGTGTCCATCCAGGGACTCGCGGCTGCAAAAGAGAACAGGAAGCTTCCCCGGAGGGTACAAGGAAGAGGAGGATGAAGGGACCAAGCGTGGAGACCCGGCGCGGCAGAGCTCCTGTCCGCCCTCCATCCGCCCTCACCGTGGATGCCGGTCTGGTGCGCCATGGCTCAGGGTTCGGCTCGCCCGTGCCGTCGGAGTTCTCCGCTTGGTCCTGGCCCGGCTCGACTCGGCTCGCCTGGACCCAGAGCTCCAGAGGATGTGGCGACGCCGCCGAGCCTCGCGCAGCTTCCCGGGCGGTGCCGCAGGACCCGCCCCCAACGCGCCCCGCCCCCGGAGGGCGAGGCTGGCAGAGGCGGGCGGGCATTGGTGCTGCGCGTGCGCGCAGCGGGCGCCGGGGTCCGGATGGCTCAGTGCCCGGCCGCTACCACCTTCATGGCCAAGGAGGGGTCCCGGGGGGTGTTGTGTGGATGATCACTTGTAGGCCACGATCCTGGAGGTCTGTGTGCGGTTCCGCACTTGGGCGTGGGAGGGACTGTGCGCTTGCGGCCGAGGAGGTTTATGAGTGAGAGCCGATCCAGGCGCACCAGTTTGTGATGGTGAGGTGATCTCTGTAGGTGGGCACGCGCTTGTGTGTGGTCGTGAATGAGGTGTGTGTGTGTGTGTGTGTGTGTTCTTGATCCTCAGACCTTTCCTCTCAGGTGGTGGAAGCCGGAACTGATCTCCTACCAGTCATCAGGTGCACCGTGTCTGTGTGGTGGTTGGAGCCCAACGCTGAGAAAGTGAGGGGCCATAGGAGGAAATGAATTTTGGATGGAGTACGGTAGGAGAGACCGAGGTGACCTAGCAGAGCTGAGGAAAGTTTTCCAAAAAGAAGATGCATGTGCTCAGTACGACCCAGTGGTTGAAGGACTGGAAGTCAGTCTGAGGAACTTTCCAAGTCCTAATGAGCTTGTTTTCATTCTTTTTCTACTGCTCTTACTAACGAGCGAAGAGCAGCTGGTACTCTTAAACTGCAGAACCAGCTCTCCAGCCCTGGACCTTGTTATTAAAGAAAGATAAATGGGACTGGACAGATGACTCAGGGGTTAAGAGCACTAGCCGCTCTTGCCTAGGACTCAAGTTTGGTTCCCAGCACCCACGTGTCACAACAGCTCCTTCTTCTGGGCTCCTGGGATTAGACACAGACATTGTGCACATAGATACATGCGCGGATCAAACAGCCAGACACCAAAAAAAAATTTTTTTTTTTTTTACTGAAATAAAAACTTAAAAAAAAAAATTAGGTAAATCAATAATCTGGGCAGATGGCTCAGTCAGAAAAGTGCTGTGTAAGCATGTAATTTCAGATTCCTGGCATCAGAGTGAAAAACTTGGCTTTACCCCCCTGGACTGTGCAGGGAGACTCTGGGGACCTGGGGAGAGGGAGTTTGAGGAGACAGGCCAATACCTACCTGGAGCTCATTTGCTCGTTAGCCAGCCAACCCAGCCAAATGGAGAGCTCCAGTTTTAGGGAGAGACAAAATCTAAAGAGAGAGAGAGAGAGAAAGAGAGAGAGAGAGAGGGAGAGGGAGAGGGAGAGGGAGAGGGAGAGAACGCACAATAGAGGAAGATGGCTGACTGGCTGATACCTACCTCTGGTTTCCACATCACACCCTAACACACACACACATACACAAATAACAAATCTGTGCGAGAACTCTAGCAATAATTTGTTCAAATGACATCCTTGGGCTGGAGATATGGCTGAGCAGATAGAACATTCTCCTAACATGCATGACACGTGTAACACGTGTGAAGTCCTAGGTTCAATCCTTAGCACTACATAATCAGGTGTGTTGGCAAATACCTATAATCCAGCACTAAGGAAGCAAAAGCCTCTGTGCATTTAAGGCCATCCTGGTCTGCAATTAGATTTTGTCTCATAAGTAAGTAAATAGGAAGAAAGAAAGAAAGAAAGAAAGAAAGAAAGAAAGAAAGAAAGAAAGAAAGGGTTCATGATTAGCTTGGGTTACATAGTGAGTTCATAGCTAGCTTGGGCTACATGGGACTTTGTCAACAAACAAGAAAGAGGTTTAGCCAGGCGGTGGTGGCACACGCCTTTAATCCCAGCACTTGGGAGGCAGAGATAGGTGGATTTCTGAGTTCGAGGCCAGCCTGGTCTACAGAGTGAGTTCCAGGACAGCCAGAGCTACACAGAGAAACCCTGTCTCGAAAAACCAAAAAAGAAAAAGAAAGAAAGAGGTTTAAAAAGAAAAGTGGTGAGGTAGAAAACTGGATAAAGGAAACAGGCCACCCACAAAGACAAAGATAGATACAGTCCCACAAGTCTATAAGAAGCTGCTTGCCCTGTCAGTAATCACTAAATAAATGAAAACAGAACTGTATTTGGAATTTTATTTACTTGTAGGCAAAAATTTTAAAACTTTGACAAGAATTGTGATCGTCAAGGATGAGTATATAGGCTATGCAAGCTTATGTAAAACGGTGTGTGTTGATTGATTTTGATTGTAAAATTAATTATCTAGGTGTGGAACCTTTGAGCTTGTCTGTGAGGGCATTTCCCCAGAAAAGTTTAACAAGGAGGGAAGACCAGCCCTGAACATGAGTAGCACCATGCTGTGGGCTGGGGTCTGAACAATAAGTCACCTCTTCCCACCAGCTAGCTGCCTTGCATTCCTGATTACCTTGCTTCTGCTGTGATGGACTTAAGCTATTCCTTCCTGTAGTTGCTTTTTGCAGATACTTTGTTACAGCAAGAACTAAAGTAACTAAGGAAGACTGTATGTACCAAATTATCATATGTATCCTTCTCCTCTTTTGTTGCCAGCAGGGGTTGGGGTTGAGTAGTGTCTGGCTATAACTTTCTCAGACTTTGTACCCATTCAGAGCTGGGTGAGGCACTACCTATCAGAACTATCACATCCGGGCCCAGCAGCCCCTCTATTAGCACTGTGCTCCTATGCCCAGTGTGTGGCTGTTACTGGGTGGGCTCAGTAGGTTAGCCACGCCCACATCAAGTTACTGGGGTACAGCTGTTTCCTAAGAACCTTCCTCCTTGGGCAGGAGAAACTGCTAGCTGACTGACTAAAGGAAGAGAGGCCTACTGAACACTAGGCTGGGCTTAGAAGCAGAGCCAAAGGTACCGCCTCAGCCATCCATCCTTAGGCCTCAGAGATTTTCAATTGGTTTCCTGGAGGAGAAAAGAGGAAGTGAAATGACTTGAGGGGTGGTCCGACTCAGCTACACTGTCATACTGGAAACCCTGGGCATCTAACACTTCCCCTCTGTGGGCCTGAGTCCCACATTTCCTTATGAAATGGAAATTGCAGCCTTGCAGAGGGGTGCCTAGACTTAGGTGACAGAAAGTGACAGGTGCTCTCCTCCAATAGTTATAGCTACCTAGGGGGTTAAGAGACATCCTAAGCCAGAGTGATGACGCTTAGCCTGTGTTTGTAGTATGCAAAAGGAAGAGGCCAGCCTGGGCTACACAGCAAGTTCCAGGCCAGCCTGGGCTAGCTACATGGTGAGCATCTTCTCAAAACAAAAGAGAGGTTGGTGAAATTCTTCACTTCCCTCAGCCCAAGGTTGCACCTTCAACCAGCTGAAGAAAGGAACTACAGCCCTTCTTAAATTCCCATAGGTTCCGCTTGTTAGTCACTCACACTTCAGGGAGGATCTTGTTCAGGCGAGAAGCCATCTTAACTGTAGAGGCAGACATCTGGGAGCGGGATTATGAAGATGAGGAGGACCAGGGTGAACAGAACTCTGGAACATTTTGAGCATGCTCTTACTCAATATGTCAGCCTCACATCTCCAAGGACATACCGTCCCCTTGCTTAAGACCGTCGCTTGGAGGAAAAGGATGAGGCTCTGCCTAGCACCTGCCCAGCACTCATTCTGGATGACCCTCCACGGTTCCTAGAGTAGAGAGAAGGGCTTCTTCTCTCAGCGGATCGAGTCCCACTTGAGCCTTTGTGTCTTCTCAGTGGTACTCTGACGCAGGTACTCTTCACTTCGCTAGGCTTCAGTTATCATGCCTGTAAAGTGGGATATGTCACCACATTTCCTTTTTATAGAAGGCCAAATAAACTGGCTGCACACACTGGGGCAGATGGGCGGGAGGGGCGTGGCCTCTCACCCCAGGCTCCACCCCCAGGCCCGCTTCCTCCCTGTGGCGGGCGGGACCCTGGCGTCCCGCTGTGCGCGGCAGCCCCCGGCCGCCACGCAATGTCCGCCGGCTGGTTCCGGCGCCGCTTCCTCCCCGGGGGTCCACTTCCAGAGCCGCGGGCAGCTGGGCCGCGCTCCAGCCCGGTACCCTATCACCGGCCCCGCTTCCTGCGCGGCTCCGGCTCCAGCCCGGGCGCCACCGACGCCTCGCGCCGCCCCGATGCCCGGCCAGTGCGCAGCCCTGCACGGGGCCGCACGCTGCCTTGGAACGCAGGCTACGCCGAGTGAGTGTCCCTGCCCCCGCGTTCCCTCCCGACCCCCTGCCTAATCCCGTCTGGTTCTGTGCTGACCTGGAAAACCGACGGGGTGTGCACATCCATGCTAACCCTCTTCTTGTCCTCACCCTTGGGACGCTTGACAACATTCCTCCTTTTTCTCACTTTTGCACTTTCTTTTGAGAAGGTTGGAGGTCCCAGGAGGGCTCGCACTCGACTGGACCTTCCTTTCTTCTGGCCTCTGGAACTCACTCAGGGTTTGGCCTATGCTCTGTGGGATAGGGTTAGGACTGAGGTGGGACTTCCCAAACCCTGGGCCAGCACAGTGACTCTAAAGGGGCAAGCCAGTGAACAGTTAGAAAATTTACATGACTTGCAGAGCAAGCATGAGGATCTGGAGTTAGGATCCCCAGCAACCTTGTAAAAAGCTGCGTGTGGGGCTGGAGAGATGGCTCAGTGGTTAAGAACACTGACTGCTCTTCCAGAAGTCCTGAGTTCAATTCCCAGCAACCACATGGTGGCTCACAACCATCTGTAATGGGATCTGATGTGTGATGTCTTCTGGTGTGTGTCTGAAGACAGCTACAGTGTACTACTATAAATAAAAATAAGTCTTTGGGGGAAAAAAAAAGCTGGGTGTAGCAGTTGTGGCCTGTAATCCTAGCACTCTGGAGGCAGATACAAGAAGACTCCTGGACTTGTTGGCCAGGAATTCTAGCTGAATTAGTAAGAGACTGACCTGTCTCAAAAACGAAGCCACTTCTGGCCTTTGTACGCGCACACACACACACACACACAGAGTTGTCCAGATGTGTCAGGGACAGCACCCAGAAGCAGTTGTTCCAGGTGGAGTCTCCGTGTGTCCACAATGACATAGATGAGGCATCACGGTTGATTTCATGGCCTCAGGATTATCAATGCAGAGAAATCAGAATTCAACGAAGACCAGGCTGCTTGTGGGAAGCTCTGCATCCGGCGATGTGCGTTTGGGATTGAAGAAGATCAGGAGTGGCTGACAGTGTGCCCGGAGGAGGTGAGTACTCCCTTGCCTGATTCCGGTTTTCAGTCTGGGTCCGGGATGTGCAGGTTGAGACTCTTCCTGCCTTACTGTCTCATGTCCTAGCTCAGGCTGGGCCATGTGGTGCTTGACACAAAGCTCTTCCTATGCAGTTCCTGACAGGTCATTACTGGGCACTGTTTGATGGGCATGGTGGACCTGCTGCAGCTATTTTGGCTGCCAATACGCTGCACTCTTGCCTTCGCCGGCAGCTGGAGGCTGTGGTTGAAGGCATGATGGCCACTCAGCCCCCCATGCACCTCAGTGGCCGCTGTGTCTGCTCCAGTGACCCCCAGTTTGTGGAGGAAAAGGGGATCCGGGCAGAAGACTTGGTGATTGGGGCTCTGGAGAACGCCTTCCAGGAATGTGTGAGTGGGGCCTATGGGGAGAAGGGATGTTTCCTTCTAGGGACTTAAAGGAACCCTGGGGTATAATGGCACACCAAAGTCACCATTCCTTGGGCTGTGGAGAGGTTGTTTTATTCCTTCATTCCTGGTAACAGTCCCATGGTCTTCAGCTTACCCTTCCCGTGTATCTAGTTCCTCCTGTGTGCTAACTGCTCACCTGCACATGCTGCTGCTCCTCGGTGTAGGCGGTGGTTTCTCTTCCTGTTTTGAATTACACTTCCCCTGTTGTAATTCTCTTTCCGAGGTATTCAAGAGTTACTGGCCAAACTTTTGAGCTGAGATGTGTAGGCCTGCTTGTGGGAATGCCATTGTAAGAAGTCAGGGGACTGGAAATGGTGGCAAGTTCAGACCGTAGCTATACCAACCTTGATTTGTTCCAGGATGACGTGATTGGGAGAGAGCTGGAGGCCTCAGGCCAGATGGGTGGCTGTACAGCCCTGGTGGCTGTGTTCCTGCAGGGAAAGCTGTATGTAGCCAATGCTGGGGATAGCCGGTGAGTGGACCACTGGAGGGCAGGCAGGGTTGTGGGCAGGAGGGTACCAGGAGGGGTTAAGACAATAAAAGGAGGATTAGACATGAGGAGGACTGGCTGACCAAGATGCATTTGTACTTGGCATAAGCCAACTATAAGGGTGGACAGTGATGCCAAAGCAGGCAGGGGCCAGCGATGCCACGCAAAAGGGCTGTTGTACCTTTACTCTGTAGGTCTTAGAGTCCCAGAGGGATTTGAACAAGGGATCACAGTGGCCCCTGGTTGGAAAAGGGTGGCCATGGTGAGTATGGAGGTTATACTTCACAAAGCTCTTCCCTCCCTCTGAGCTGCTTAGGGCCATCTTGGTGCGGAGAGATGAGATACGGCTGCTAAGTTCTGAGTTCACCCCAGAAACAGAGCGGCAGCGGATCCAGCAGCTGGTAGTGCCCGTGGCAGGGGGACCCCCTCTGGGTAGAAGACCATATAGGGCCCTGGGAGGGAGCCTGATCTGAAAGTGGCCTTCCCCACCTAGGCCTTTACCTATCCTGAGCTTCTGGCTGGTGAGTTCACCCGACTGGAGTTCCCACGGCGGCTGAAGGGGGATGACTTGGGGCAGAAGGTTTTGTTCAGGGATCATCACATGAGAGGCTGGTGAGCTGGTGGGAATAAGGACATATGGTGGGAAAAGGTCCAGGGTTCAGGCTCACCTGTGTGGCCTGAGGCAGTCCTGCCTGGGCAAGGAGGGCATGTGAATGCTTGGTAGCTGGGCTTTAGAATGGGAGAAGGAAGCTTCAGTAGTGTGTAGGTCTTTGGCTGATTCTAGGTCTGCTCCTGCAGGAGCTACAAACAGGTGGACAAGTCTGATCTCAAGTATCCACTGATTCATGGACAGGGTCGGCAGGTCAGTGGCCTCCTTCCCCCACACCTCCCAAGAATTCCTCTTTAGTTGGTCCTTGAAGATGGGAGCTTCTTTGCCCCTTGCTAGTGGCTGTGGCTAGTATCCTGGGGTCTGTTCCCTCATGATGTTTCTCCCCTAGAAGCCATTGTTCATTTCCCCCTTTGCGCTCAGCAGAGCCTGTCCTTGAACATTCGATAAGCTCACTATCGTCTCCTTCCTCCTTTGCCCCAGGCTCGGTTACTGGGAACACTGGCTGTCTCCAGAGGGCTGGGAGACCATCAGCTTAGAGTCCTGGACACCAACATCCAGCTCAAGCCCTTCCTGCTCTCCATCCCACAGGTGACAGAGTAGTGTCGTCCACCCCAGCTTCCATCTGCCCAGAAGGGCATAGAATGAACCTGGCAGGAGCTGGGAAGGGAACACTGGAGGATTCTTAGGCTTCACTTGCAGGTGACTGTGCTGGATGTAGACCAGCTGGCACTGCAGGAGGATGATGTGGTTGTCATGGCAACTGATGGACTCTGGGATGTCCTGTCCAATGAGCAGGTGGCACTGCTTGTACGGAGCTTCCTCGCTGGGAACCAAGAGAACGACCCACACAGGTACCGTAGCTGAGGGAGACCTGATGACCTGGGTTGGTGTTAGCAACAGCACCAAGTAGTTACAGCTGTGAAGACTACTAACTCGGGGCAGGTGGTCTGATCAGGGCTCTCTTAAGCTTCCCAAAGGAGAGGGGATATGAGCAAAAAAACCCAAGTCCAGTTGATAATCTACTTTATGGCCCTTTCAGGCTTGTTGCTTGTTCTATAGTTTCACCACATTTAGGGGGTCTCTCAGGTATCCTACCCTTTGTACTGTGTTTTGGAGGGCTAGCCTTGGTCTTCTGCTCTATATTCAAATTACACCTGCAGGGTGGTCTTTGCAGGTTCTCAGAGTTGGCCAAAATGCTGATACACAACACCCAAGGAAAGGACAATGGTGCCACTGGAGAAGGGCAGGTGTCCTACGATGATGTCTCCGTGTTCGTGATTCCTATGCACAGTCAGGCCCAAGAGGGCAGTGGCCACTGAAGATTCATGATACTGCATTCTAGAACCTCCTCAGAACCAATGCAGACGCAGCATATGTCCACTGTGGCCAAGAGCAGGACCTGCCTGGCCTGTTCTAAGTCACAGCCCAATGATCACCAGGTCCCACCTTCTGCACTGGTAACATTCCTCTGGCAGAGTTACTTTATAGCATTATGGTTTTGGCGGCATTGGCTCCTCTGCAGGATAAAGGGTTAAGGGCACTAAGAAGCCTTGGGGAGCAGGCAGCTCACTTGGTTCCAACTTATCTCAAGGTATTCATTTAACCATCCACCCACACAAGGCACCTTCTTGAAACCTCTGAGCAGTTTCACATTTGCTTAATTTAATTACGATTAAAGTGATTTTAATTTTTTCTTTTCTGTCTTCTGTTATGTAGTTCTAGCTGTCCTGGAACTTGCTATGGAGACCAGGCTGGCTTCAAACGCAGAGATCACCTGCCTTTGCCTCCTGAGCGCTGGAATTAAAATGTGTGCCTGCCTGGAACAGCCATCTTGAGAAGAGCTCCTGAAACCTGTTCAGATCCTGCCTTGCTCTCTGCCTGTAAAGGGCACAGGTCTCAGATAAACTTTGTAGAGTAAAATGGGCAAGAAGGCTTCAGGATTGGCGGGGCTGACTGTTACTGTCTGGAGCCTGGCTGCTAATCTGGCTGCTTTCCCCCAGTTCCAGGCCTGCCCTATACACCAACACTGTTTGTGCTGTTCTCCAGTCATGCCAAGTACAAAAGCTTCTCAGCAAGCCAGTTCTCCATGTTTCTAACCTTCCAGTTTTAGCCAGCCTAGCGCTATCCCCACCCACTCTGGTATTCTCCTGCCCACTCTACCCTAGCCAGCCACCAAAGATTCATATACAGCATTCCCTTCGGGGACACAGCCAACATGTTATTAAACGTTTGCATGTAAAAGCCCCTGTGAATCCTGAATTGCCCACACAGCTCTGGCTGACAGTCTTGTCGAACCTTGTGGCCTCACAGTGGGTCCTTTTTAGTCCTACCATGCAAACCAGCATACAATCAAGACTGGTCCCATGCTCAGACCCCTTGCTTTTGCCAGGAAACGGGAAGACCTTTACCTGTAAACTCTCGATTAGAGGCACCAGAAGGGCTGCCTTTTTACATAAAAAAAAAAAAGTTTTGCAAGAATTTCACTATGAAGCCTTGTTGGTTCTGTATTACGGTCTCAACCTTATGATCCTCTCTGCCTTTTGCCTCTAGAGTGACAGGTTTCTCACTCTGTAGGCCAGGCTGGTCTGAAAGTTACAATAGCTTGAGTTGACCTCAGTTTTATGACTCTCCTCCCTCAGCCTAAGTCCTGAGATAGCAGGTGTGAACTACTAGACTGGCCCTTTTGGGTGACCTGGTGTAGACATGTCAGTGAGGGCTTTACATAAGTTTGCTTTGCTCTTCGTCTTCCCCTTGTCAGCGGGCAGTGGTGGCACACGCCTTTAATCCCAGCACTCAAGAGGCAGACATAGGTAGATCTCTGAGTTTGAGGCCAGCCTGGTCTATGTAGCAAGTGAGCCGGGGCTTCACAGAGAAACCCTGTCTCAAAAAACCCAAACCAAACCAAACCCTCTGTCACCATCTAGAACTTGCTGAGGCTCAGAAGTATCTGTTGAAAGAGCTTTACTTTACTCCAAATGTACAACCAAGAGGGGGGTTTCAGGGAACATTCAGCTTTAGATGGCAGTGAGGGAGCTGGTGGTGGCGAGTCCAATTAATTCCTCTGGGATGCTCAAGACCCCTATGCCCTTATCTTAGATTTCATTTATTATTCAGGGAAGACAGGTCAGGAGCACTGGTATTTTCCACTTCCCATGTAACTTGTGGACAGACCCACACCTTGCCCCAGCAGCCCCCAGGCAGGCAGCTGATAGATGCTAGAGTGGTACTGTGTAAGGCTGCCAAGTTTAGCTTCCTCTTTCTTCAGCACATTCCTCCATATCCTCTCAGAGCAAAGTGTAGACAACATCCTGTGCCTGCCTCTTGGCCATACTAACTGCTAAGCCAGCCAGCGCAGCCCCTCAGCCTACTCTGTTCCTCTTGTTCACACAGTACAGAGTAGGCATACCAGGTCTATTGCAAGCACATCATAGCAGTAGCTGCAGCAGGCTTTCCCTTTTTTAAATTTGGGACTTTGGATGTAAATGCTATGGCATGTGTGGAAACCTAAGGACAACTTTCAGAAAGTGGGTTTTCTCCTTTCACCATGGGATATGGGGACTGGACTCAGGTCATCATGTTTATGTGGTAAGAACTTTTAGCTGCTGACCCACCTTGTTGGACATTCCCACCAGGCTTTGAGGGCTCATTCTTAGAGCAGTTTGAGCAGGAGAGCCAACATAGTCAACATATCAAGCCAGAATATTTTCTTCCAAAGTGGCAGGTCAAGGTTTTCAGCTGTTCTGGTTCTGTCAAGGAAGCAGATCCTAGAGTTCCAATGATTTCCAATGCATTGGCCAAGCAGTGGCTCAGCAGGCCCTCTGCCAGATGCTTACCTTCCATCAAACAGGGCCTGGGAGGATACAATTTATTCTAACAAGAGCTTGCCAATCTGATCAAAGTTTGAAGTAAACAGTGTGGGACACAAGGCAGTGAGGTGATCTCTGAAGATCGGGGTTGAGTCAAGTTCACCTTTTCTAGCTACCCATTACTGGGCCTGTGGTAATTTAATTGGCATCTGGGGTTAAGGGACTGTGTCTGGGAGGGGTGTGTTTCTGTTGCTCAAAGGCCTAGAGGAGGGCCAGCATTTCCACATGAGCCAAGATGTTGGAACAACCCATTCTGTGAGACATGAACCAGGGAATGTTACAGAAACTCAATAGAAGAGACTATAAATCATAAAATCCTGTTTACGACTGGTAACATGGCAAAAAAAAGTTTATATGTTAAGTACAAAAAGGACAAAATTGTATGTACAGTAGAGTAACAACTATGTAAACACCAAAGTTTATGCACAAAGAGATCTAAAGGAACATGTAACATCAGGATTAACAGTGGTACCATTTGGGTGGGTGGCAAACTGGTTCTTAAAGATCTCCCCATTTTCCTTCATAAGCACTAATTGTCAGTTACAACAGGGAGTAATTTATTAAAAAACACCCCAGTGGCTGGTGGTTGAACAGTGCAGTGTTAGCTGTCACACAGAGAGCAGTGGCTCTGGCAGATTTTTCAACAACAGTGAATACATCTCAGGAACACACCCCCAAACTGCCACCTCTGCTTTCTCCCTTTCTTATTACCCTGTGACCATGTAAATTCCAGTTGCACCTTTTCCTACTAATTCAGAACTCAGCTCTGTGGCCATAGGGCCCAGCAAGGCTGTGAGGCTGTATGTCTTCCAAGAGCATGCCGCCTCAGCCCTGGACACTGAGATCATTTCCTGCGGTCAGGCAAGCCACTCTAAATTCAGGCTATGCAGCCGTATTAATCTACAGTTAGAGACATTTGCCCTCAACAGTTCTTTCAAACATGGACTCTTAAAACCCGGAAGATGGGCAGTAACAGCTCCACTACCTGGTTCCTACTGTCGGTCCACTCTGGGAAGGCAGAATTTTATAGCAGATTTGTTCAGCAATACTTAGAGACTTCAGTGTCAGTCCAACTTTTTGGTTGGAATAACAAGTCAAAAAGTAATTGCTTAAAAAATAAGTGTTGGTGACTGGAAGGCTGTCTGCTGCTGAACAGAAGCAGTGATGGCCCGACTGCCACCGCCCTAGCAGCTGGGTACTCTGGGGCAAATCACAACCTGTTGGGTCTTGAGTTCTGGATCTGCAGGGATACTGCTTGCATCACTGTTTGATGGCCATTTGTTCTACTCTAAGGCTGCCATGCTCGGAAGAAAAGGTCAACTGCAACTCATCTAGTCTGGGCCTAGCTAAAGTCTCTCAGGAAAAGCAAGAAAAAAGGCAACAGTGTAGACATAGCAGGTGACAGTGACTTATGATTGGCTAAGTTCTGACAAACTAAAAACACTGTGGTTCCAGCACCCTGTCCCTAAATGTCACAAGCCAGGCACAGAAGCCATGCAAAAGTGACTCTCACACACATACAGATGCAGACAGAGCATAATCAGGCAAAAAAAAGAAAAAAGACTCTAATACTGTAGAGAGGGCCCCAAAGTGTGGCTTCAAGAGCACAAGGGAGTCACCCCAAGGCCCCCACTTAGCTGCCATGAAACAGCAAACACTAGAAGCTCTGCTTCATGTTGTACCCTAAGGTGAACAGAGAAGACTAGCAGTTGTGGCACACACTAGCCACAAAGAGTCACTCTCAGCTGCAGGGCTCCCTCTCCTGCTGAACCCTTGATAAACTAGATGACAGACAGGCATATACACATATGTAATGTGCATGTCTACACAAATATATTTAAGTGGACACACACACTGTTCAAATACAAACAGATCAAGGGTCATATATAAAAAGGCTAAATGTAACATATAACACAGGCCTAGAGCCAGCTCTTGGGGAGGAGCTGGAGAAGAGGGGTTTCATCTGCTGACTATGTACACAATTTGTGGTGGGCAGGGAAGGAAGGCATCAGTGTAAACAACTCAGACTCGATCCACAATACTGGCCCACAGGAAAACGTGATGTGACTCAGGTACAAAAATAAACTACTACCTTGCTTTTGTACAAGCCAAGCTCGGTAGGACCCCCCAAAAAGACTGTGGGATTGTCTTGATGGGGGAATTGCACCAGGCTGCTAAACCTTTCAGCTCTCAGAATTTACCTGCTACCCCCTTCCCTCCCTTCCAGACTCTTGGGCCTTTTGTTAGCAAACATCTAAGCCCAAGATCTGCCCCACCCACCTATTCAGGAATACTGTATAGCCTCCTGACAAACAAGGTCCTTCTGTAGTTGTCCCTTTCTTTGACCCCAAGGTATATGAAGACTTATTTTTGTAAATGTTTGGCACCTAAGAAACATGATGGTTGTGGAATAATGCCACAATTAATTACACAGGGAGACCCAGTAACAAGACATGCAGGGTGAGGGCAAGGGGTGCTGAGCTGCCCTAGCATCTCAAAACCAGAACCGTGGCTTCCCATGCATTTCTGGGGTGAGAAGGATGTGCAGAAAGTGGTGACTTCACTGGCTCCTCAGCAGCAAGTACATTCAAAATTGAAGGGGTTCAAGAGCCCCACTGTAACCTAATCATGAGTCCAGTCACACTCTGAAGAGCTGGGCGCAGTGAGAGCTGGAAAGAACTGAATCTGCAGCACCAAGAGTCCTTTTGAAGGTGCTCAGCAAAGTAATTCCTTAGAGCAGATGGACAGCACATCCCTGGGAAGGCCATGTGGAAAGATGTTATGCAGGCCCAGTCAAATGATCAATCAATCCCACTGTCATCTCAGTCACCTCTTGACTTTTTTCCCTGTTGGCTGCCCTCACTGTACAAACAGCCCAGCAGTGTCAGCATCAGTCATCAATGGTGGGCAACCAGAAGGCCTGGAAGGAAAACACATATCAGATTTTAGGCATCTCTCAGTATGGAGATACCAGTCAAGGGGCCCAACCCCAATAGTGAAGGAATTACAGTCTGCTGACCCTTACTCCTGATTTGTCTCTATTATGAAGTCTGAGACCCTGAAAGCTGGCTCTGTTTACTTCTAACACTCACTCCCTCCCTTGTACCCACCACAGTTGCCCAGTGTGTTAAGGAAACAGTAGTACCGCGTGGGTAACCTGACCTTATAGTTAATCTCAAGGTGGCCTCAATCATACCCTCTCCTTCCAGAGTCTGAGAAGAAAGAAGGGCTGGATGAGATGGTTTTGTTACCTTTGAGGGCTAGGTGGCTTTTTGGCTTTCTGTGTCCTATGCTGACCTCAAACTCACTATATACTCAAAGATGACCCGGAACTGATCTTCGTACCTCTACCTTCCAAATGTTTAGATTACAGGTGTGTACTAACACATCCTAGCTTAAATTAGTTTCCTTCTGTCCTTCTAGTAGTGGAGGGACGGAGCCAGCCAGGGCTTCACACACAACAAGCAAGTACTCTAAGCCACAATTTCGAGCCATTGCTATATTTCTTATGGTGCTATCTTCTTGATTTCTAAAAACAAGAAATGGACTAGGTGCAGTTCAGTAGTAAAGGCCCCAGGCTCAGGCTTCAGTATCAGGGGAAGAGTGGGCACT